CCCGAACTCCCCACGACCGTCTGGTCTCCCTGTGGCAGCTGCGCTAAGTCGAGACTCAACGCGCACGCTTGCACCACAGTCGCATACCACCGCGGATCCAACGCGAAGTCGCCCGTGATGTTCTGCTGGACCGTGGTATTGATTACCCAGGGCGACTGAGAACAGAACGCCGCTTCGTCCAGAGACCCGATGATCGAGCCCGCAGAAACCTTGGTCTCACGCAAGAGTGTATACAACAACGTCGATTTACCAGAGCCCACGGACCCAACGACCATCGTTAGTTGACCCCGGGGCACCTTGAATGTCATGTCCCGGAGTACCACCATCCCGTCCTTCCACCCGGCTGACACCTTCTTAAACTCAATTACTGGCTCGGGGATGATGCGTCGCGTGCGTCGGCGACTTCGCGCGGATCTCATCGAACCAACACCTGAAACGACACGGCCCGCATTGCCCGGCCCATTACCTCCACCAATAACTCCTCTTTCCTCTCCCAAGAACCTGGACGCTCGCCCCTGTTCTCCAGAATAATCGGCCAAAAGCCAACTAAACCGAAACTCGGCGACCTCGATAGTTGGCAAGACCAAGCTGGGAATCGTCCGCCGTCTCTCCCGACGCGCAAGACTCTCCACCTCACTACTACTACTCGATCCGCCGGTAGCAGCACGAGCTTTCTCCCCGTCGACCTTGGTCTCCTGTCCCAGATAGTCTTGGATGCGGCGAAAGCATCCCAATGCGCCCACAAATCCGGCAAGACTGTCGATGAGCATTGCCAGCGGCACGAGCAACAACTGCAGGAGCACCAATGATGTCAACACCAGCGAGGTACTCATGACCGCATAGCCTTGGAACCGCTGTAAGAGAATATACAAGCCAAACGCGGCGACCGGGTTCATGGCCTCGGAGACATTGGACAGGGTGACGAGCTTCACCAAGATCAACCGGAATGTAGACGACGCTTTGACTTCCTCCTCGCGCAGCTGCCGGATCTTGTCGCCCAGCGGCTGCGTCAGCCCCGTCATCTTGACTGCCTTCATCACACCAAGCATACTGGCTGTCGCTGCGACGCGCGACTGGATCTGGTCCAGCCAGGCCTTCTGGGCGATACCGGCACCCGTGGCTACCCAGATGGCCAATCCAGTGGAGACAACGGCGACGGCGGAGGCACCGAGGACGGCAAGGTCGAGCATGCCGGCCAGAAGCCAGATGGCAATGCCCATTTGGATGAGGTTGGCCCAGAGTTCCGGAAACGTGCGGAGGCCGCTGGTGATGCGCTCCACGTCGGTACTCATTAGAGTCACTGCGTCGGCGCCGTCGAGTGCCGTGGGAACCATCTCCAGCGTGTGTCGGTAGATCAGATCGACCAGCCCAGCACGCATGCGCGTGATCATCCGGAAGGTCCAGTGCTGCGCTAGGGCGGTCGTCACCGCGATGCCGATGTAGACGATCACGTAGACCACGATAAGCCCTGTGCCGACCGACGACCGGTTCTCGTACCCGTCGTTTTCGATGTAACTTAGGGTGCGTTGTAGGATAAACGGTTGCGCGACAGTGAAGGCGATCTGAGCGAGACGTGGGATGATGGACTTCAATAGAGGCACTCGAGCATGCACGAGACAAATTATTAGGAGAGGTGGATTGCGGAGTTTGGATTTCCCTATAGAGATGGTCAGACTTGTTCCAAGGTTTGAATGAATGAGCAGAGGCAAAACTCACAATACTTCCACATCTCCGCCAAAGTATCCCCGTCCTCCTTGTCATTTGCTTTCAAACTTGGGTCGACATCGAATAACGTGTCCATCGACAACTGCTTCTTGAAGCCCCTTAGGAAGATCGGATTCAACCACCACGAGAACCATAGGTTCAACTCGCCGGCGGTAGCTTCAAATGGCAGAAACTTGAACTTGTCTAGCAAGATGCCGCGCTTTTCGGCCGCCTCTAGGCCGAACAGGAGGGCTTTGATACCGACGGCGATGCTCAGCACAATGGCCACCTTTTCGCCCGACTGGACCCCCCAGAGTGTACGACAGCGCGCGGCATCGAATATCAGCGTCAGAGCCAGGTACTGTACCAGCAGTCCCGATGGACGCACGCTGCGGACATGTTGCCAATGCGACAGGAATGTGAGTCCAATCTCCAGTAACAGAACAACAACATTAGCCGCGATTGATGTCCGTGTCGTTGGGCCCTTGCTGGCCGTTAGGGCTACCAGCACGAGCGTAACTGTTGATATGGCAAACCAGCCAGCCTGATTTCATTGCGTATGAAATTAGTCCTGTTGCCTCTGCGTTATCGTCAAGGGGGCAGATCTCATACCAGTTTAGCCACATGATGCCACGATTCCACCACCTTTCTCTCTTCATTCTTCAAACGCAACAGAAACAAAGGTAACAGGAATAATGTGATGCCAGCAGGCACAAGAGTGAGGATCGATTCTTCGAATAGCAAAGTGAAGTCGAAACCATCATAGCAGTCGGCGGCGGGGCCAAACCCCGTCTCGACGTCTACCGGACATTTGGATGCTTGAGCGCCCATGGTGTTGAGCTACCCCTGTAGAAAAATTCTATGTGCATGAAGTGGAGAGAGATAGGTCTTTTCCTACATGATCTAGCTATGTTTGATCGGCAATTTGCTTGCTTGTCACAGAGGCTGTGGGTGGATGCCTACGAACTGGATCCATCGCGTGACGTTCTGGAAGGGTTCAACTTACTATGCAGTGAATTTAGTGCGTAGTAAGCAAAATCTACCGGGGAATTAGCCATGTCAAAAACGTGGTGATGGTTTAATAGTAAGAAATAAGCGTAAGAGAGAGTGGCGGCGGTGACACTAACCGTCTACAGTAATGCCCTAGAATCATGCGCTGACTGTTCTGGATCACTGCAACTTGAAACACAAAGCTAAGAATATTAACTAAATGAGATTATTTTTTCCAAACCAGTTACTAGAAGGGCTAGCTCTTAGTCAGTTTGTTGTGTGGTTACTACCCAAAGGCCATGCGGGCAGTGTTGTGATTAAATTGTTTGCTTAGAAGGATCGCGGATGTTTATCCACTAATGCCAGAACACGAGGTAACATTTCTGCAACCAGGGCTAATATTAGCTTCTAGACTCATCACACTCACCCAAACGGCCAATCATAAAGGTACTCCGATGAAGAATCGTAATGCCTGTGCCCACAGCCCCGGCAGCTTTACTAGTTCCTTGCTTACTACTACGCACGTAAAGAGCATCGACCCAGTAAATCCCCAGACTTGATGACTTGGACCCGACTAAGACGTCCTCAAATGATCTTCAATATATATGGGAATAAAAGGATGGAAGCAGGATCAAATATCGTCTTCATCCATCCAGATTAATTTCATCAATCTCACCCCCCTTTCCCAATAACTCACCCAACCAAACACCATGGGATCACTTTCGCCATTCCCTCCCGCGCCCAAAGCGGGCCTTGGTGAGCACTAAGAATCCCCCACAATCCCCTCCCCCAACCACAGCCACTCTGCACGCCATTGACCCCCTAACTAATAACAAACTCAGACTGGGCAAACCTGGACATGACCAAACATCTTCCCGTCAACGGCCACGTCGAGCTCCGCTTCCATCAATCCACCCAATCCTGGACCTCCCCGTCTCTCGTGACGGGAAACCAGATCTCCATCTCCGGTCTTTGCCCGGGGCTCAACTACGGCCAGCAATGTTACGAGGGGTTGAAGGCAATGCGCCGCCGCCGCCACCGTCATGGCTCCCAGGAAGCAGAAGAAACCATCGCCGTCTTCCGACCCACCTTCCACGCGGCGCGCATGGCCCGCTCTGCTGACGCCGTCTGTCTGCCTCCAGTCCCAGAGCATCTCTTCCTCGAGTGCATCCGCCTCGCGGTGGCTGCCAACGCGGAGTATGTACCCCCGCTCGACGCCGAGGGTTTCTTGTACATCCGACCAGTCTTGTTCGGGGCGTCGGATGGCTTACCCTTAGGTCCGTGTGAAGAGACCATCTTTGCAGTGTACTGCCACCCTGCACGAGCATACCATGGAATGCAGGGAATCAAGGGCTTGGTATGCGAGGAATTTGATCGGGCGGCGCCACGAGGAATGGGTCGGTTTAAGGTCGGAGGGAATTACGCCCCTGTATGGCGCCACGCGGGGAAGGCACAGAAGATGGGTTACCATATCACCCTGCATCTCGACAGTGAGACCCATTCCCTCGTGGAGGAATTTGCTACGAGTGGATTCTTGGGCCATAAGAACGTGGACGGCCAGGATGTGCTGGTCGTGCCGGAGTCGGAGAATGCGATCGAGAGCGTCACCGGCTCGAGTCTGCAGGTTCTTGCCAAGAGGAAGGGCTGGAAGGTGGATAAATCTTCGGTAAGTGTGATCGTGTTTGTATCCAGTTTGGTTTATTCCTGGCGATCGGGTGGGCTGACAGATCTCACATCAGCTCCCGTTCTCTTCACTAGGGGAGTTAGATGAAGTCATTGCCGTTGGAACTGCCGCCGCTGCGGTGCCCATTGCTTCTATCGATCGGTTGTCAACGGGCGAAAAGTATGTTTTCCAGGCGACTGGAGATGGGAAGCTGCTTGATCTCGCTCGCAGCATGCGCGCGATACAGAAGGGACAGGCACCCGACAGTGAGGATTGGTGTTTCGATGTCACGGGATTTTGAGTGTACTGGATACTTGAGAGTTTGACATAGAAGCTGTTAGTAAGACATATGTAAAGTTAATCACGAACACTAAAGTTTCGCTTAAACAAGGCTTGGATACTGAGATCGTCAGTAAAACTTTTTAGAATGTACCGAACGGGTAGACGATGAAACACCAACATCGACCAAAACGTCTCCACGTGGGATCGACATGATCAGAGAATGCCAACCACATGGTGTTTTCACTGATAGGAGCCAGTGTTGGTTCGTGTTGGTTGTTCACTGTTTCACCGCCTACCACAAGCTGCAGGTTATAAACCAAAATTAGCATCCTTAATCTCAGACCACTTCCTACTTCTTAATTCTTACTCCTCAGCATCCAGTAAACCCCCGAATTGGCCCCAAGAAAGCCTACCACGCAGCTGACTACCACCAGCGTAGTAATCACTCGAGTATTTAGCCTCCTAGCATTAACACACTATAATTAGTCCAAACTACATAATCATCCTTCCAAACTCAGTCTCTGATCCATTTAACAGACCACATCATTTTACCTCATACCATCCCGTCCCATTGCAACTCCATCAACACGAGCATCAATACATGCAATCACAATGCTTCTCCTCCTCTTCTCAATCGTCATCCTGATCCTCTTCTTCAATGCTAAATCCCTCCCACTCGTCTACTCCTTCCAGCTCCTCCCCTCCCTTTACCGAATCCTGCAACCCCGCAACGCTCAACGGCCCAAAAAGCTCGTATCCCCGCACCCAATCAACACTCCAGATCTCTTCTATCCAGCCCTACCCAGCCTCTTCCGCCCCCACACAAGCCAAACCCACTGCCCCCTGCCGGAAATCGACCTCAACCTACACAAAAGCAACAGCACATTCTTCACAGATGCGGATCTCAGCCGCGCCCGCCTCCTCAGTCGCCTCCTTGGGCCGGCCTTGGCATCGCTAGGCGGAATGCCCATGCTAGCTGCAGTCCAGGCGCGGTTCCTGCGTGAAATTCGCCCCTTTCAGCGCTATTGCGTGACTACTCGGATCCTGGCGTGGGATCAGCGGGCGTTGTGGACGGTTACGTATTTCTTGAGGAGGGAAGTGTATAAGGGAATGAGGGAGGTGGACCTTGATGGAGGGCCCACGGCCGTGTTGACGGATAGGGAGCTCCGCAAGGGGGTGTTGGCTGTGCTGGTCAGTCGGTATGTGGTTAAGGCTGGGAGGGTTACTGTGCCTCCGGTGGAAGTGTTGAAGCGGGCGGGATTGTTGGTACATGGTGATGATGAGGATGAAATTCGTCATAATTATGGAGATAGGTCTGCTAGCAATGTTGAGGGAAAAGAGGGGGATTCGCTGGTGGGAGAGGTGGGTAATAATTGCAGGAGCATCGACGCTAGAATCCAGCCGAAGGATGGAGAGGTCTTGCCTGCAGACCGTGTGCAGGAGATGATTGGGTCTGCGATGCAGTTCATCGGAGAATGCATGTTGTAACCACACATGGCACCCATGGGGATGGGTTACGTGGAAAAGGAACACTTTTTGCTTGTTTGGGAACGCGGACAGAATGTAGGGTGCGGGGTGCAGCAGTTCGAGACATGTTGTTGCTATTGCTTTTTCTTCTTGTTTCGTAGATAGTATGCAGGATAATATGCGAGTGAAGCTAAGCCTTCGGTTCGGTGTTACAACGAATAATCTATTAGCCTCCCGTGATACTAGTAGTCGCAATTAAAACCAAGTTGTCATTGCATAGCTCTAGAGATGAAGATGCCAGTACAGCAAGTCAACCATCACGCATCCTTCGCGGTCTGATCCCCAGCTGAAGCACCAACCACCACTATTGTCCATCAAGCGTCTCCATGGCCCCCAAATTGCGCTGCCATCCAACTTTACGTATAGACAGCCCTTTCCAGCTGAAGCAAATTCATCCAAGACGTAATACGACCCCCGTATTCCACAGCCACGTTGTCTGGTCCAGACAAGCTTGCGACGAGAGGAACCACGTGGGTGGGAGATCTGACATGATATGCAAAGAAGGTTCTTCACCAACAACAACAATAATAACAGCTGCAGCAAAAGCAATAGAATAGTAATACTAACAACAAACGAGAAGCGAAACCCATCATCATAGGGTGTTTGTATGATGCATGAGCAAAAGCCCTCATCTGAGTAGTAATCGCAGTAGTAGTAAAATCTGCCGTGGCCCCAGAATTGCACTGACATGTTCCATCCCACCCAAGGATTTCCAGGACTTTGGGGCGAAAACCTATTCTGAAACAACCCAGATCATGGCTTAGATCGCATCAATCCTATATTAGTGTTGCAAACTTTGTACTAAGACTTGTTTCGAAGTGCCATGGTGCATGGCTGACGAAGATCCCTAGTTGCTTGGTCCTTCTACCACAATCCATACTTTTCTTCGTGTCAGATTTAAGTTGGTATTACGGGGTCCGTGCAATGGCTTGTGAGTAGAAGAAGGCGGGGGACAGTCGGTACCGTAATGAAAGATGGTAAAATAAGGGAGGGGGCTGTGACACGACAGTTGGTCTCGCACCCAAGCGTGTGAGAGGGAGATCAGTGTAGGGCGCATTTCATAACGAGTTCCTACCAGTTTGAAGCCCCCAACCACAAGCCAGCCTTGCCATGATGACTTGAGGCGTGCCATGCCGCCGCCCGTCTTGGCTAGTTTCGAACATCGCCATGTGGTCCTAGATCCGGGGCAGAGCAAAATTTAAAAGTGGGCCGAGTACCTCCTATTTGTATCTCTTCATCATGTATATCTACATTCAATTCTCTCATCCATATCAGGTCTGGATAGATAACTAGGGAGGAAAAAAATGAATCAAATACAGCAACAACAGCAGAACCCTCTGGTAGGGTCAAACGGAACTACTTTGCCTGTGGTCGTTGACACTCGACGACCATCTGGACGTCCCAAGCATAATTCATACACCGACCTGATGAAACCAGGGGAGAGCTGGGAGGATCTCCCTGATGCCGCTGAGCGGAGGAGAATTCAGAACCGTCTAGCACAACGGGCATACCGTGAGTACATCAGCTACTCGCTGTTCACGAACAACATAGCTAACGCTGTCTACCAGGCCGAAACATGCGCGACCGCACGAAAGAGGTCGAGCTCCTCAAAAGCCAAGTCAAAAATCTTCAAGAAGCCATGAACAGCAACAGCAGCACCCCCAACGATAGCAATAGCGGCAGCATCAGCGCGAGCGCCAGTACTAGCGACGGGGACGACCGTCCCACGCGAGCCTCGTCTCAAGTCAGTACTAGCAGCGTCTCTCCCGGTCCCCGCGACCCCCCGAGTACATATTTCCCGTCCCCAGACCAGGAGATGCTGGGCGATGGACTGAGTTGGCCGACGGACCTGGACCACGACTTCACCAATTGCTTCGATAAAACCAAAGACATTACAGCGACTGTCACAAGTATGCCGACCTCTGCATCGCCTTCGACGATGGCCTCGACAGCGAGTGCCCAGAACGCGATGCGATGGCTGGAGTCCGATGTCTACTATCCTTTCCCGCCCCCATCGCCCCCCAACGTCGACCCTATGCTGCGCTCAATGCCAAGCAACATGTCCGACACGCAACGGCGAATCGCCTCGGGCTGTTCCCTGTCCAGCCGTGATCCTGAGGCAGACGAGCCTTTGATTCATATTGCTATTTCACGCGGCACAATTGATACTCTCCAATTGTTGCTAATGACTTATCCCATATCTGTGAATGTCCGAGACCGGGCGGGCTACACACCACTCCAACGAGCTGTTATTACGGGGCGGACAGACATGATGAAATTGCTCATTGAACACGGTGCGGACGCGGGATTGTAGCATATCCACGTGGCCGCGTCGGACAAAATCCGAACGAAACGCACAAAACCCGAAGCAATTATTGCATAGGGGCTTGGTTGGTTACACCAAGAAGGGGCGGAATTTCTGGTCTGTGCCAGGAACCGACCGCCAAGATACCCACTGATCGCAGTCATGCGATGTGTTAATATTTTTCTTTTCCTTTCTGTTTTTTTAGAGTTCTTTGTCCATATGGCTTGTCTTGGTATCTCGTGGGGTCCATTGGCGAAGGCGTCCTCCCGGTTTGATTTCTAGCGGCAGATCTGATTGATTAGACTACAAATACCCAACTACGGCTGGCCTGGTTTCCAACAATGAAGTTTGTTTCTGATTGGTGGTTACTTGTCACTTCCAAGATAGACTAATAATAGTACACGACTGATAAGTTACACCGCCTAGCGACTCCAAGCGCACGGACCTTGAGATAATCTCACTCTTCCCAGTTCCTATAGCAAAGTCTGTTTGCTTAACCTATAATCATAATAGATATTAGCAAGCTAATTAGACTCGTAAGATTGTCCTTTCGGAGTCTAGAGTTAAGCCGAAGCTTTGTGTTGTCGTTGTGCTGGGTAATAATGTTAAAGCAGTCTGTGAGGACTTAATGATTCAACATTCACGATATATATTTTCCGACGAGCCCTAACAACTACCTTATCACCACCGGCGAAAAGCAGCACTACTACTAAACTTCGAAGAAGTCATAATATCTAAAGAAATTACAAACTCCTTAACATTAAAATTCACAATAATAATTATCTGCAACTCAATCGCAAGCGAAACTGTGTTGACCACGTTACTCCTTAGATTGATCAACATTCCCCAAAACCAAGCCAACGAGTCAGGTTCAGTCCGGGCGGAACAAAGGAGTGCCTCAGCCTCAAGAGTCAATCAATACCCGACGGTCAGCCTTACCACCCCCAAAATTTTACGGGCCAACGGCACCACCCGCACATACGTTAGCATCCGTTTAATAAGGAAATCATCCGTCCCACGCGGGGATTTACTGGTTGTAACATGGGGGCCGTCTTAGCATTCGTATTCCCGCGCGGTACGGAAGACATTTAATTAGGGGTTTGCTAAGAGGGCGAAGGTGTCGTGGCGTAGTAGCGTGTTGGGAAACACTTGTTGGAAAAGAGCCTCAGAGAACGCCCGAACCTCTGCTAGGGGAATGACACCTTGGAAATTAGTTCAACTGGCAACCAACAACTGGACCCATACTTCGTATACGTGCGATGATCGACGTCCTCTATGCCTGGAGTAGCTTGGACCGTGCATTAGTGGGTGTCAGATTGCTGACAGGAGAGTCCGTTCCCCGACTTCTCTTAGGTAAGACTTTCATTCCACGGAATTTTCCACTGATCGTCCCTTAATTCCCCCGAAACGCTCGGTTCAAGAGATGTTAATCATGTTGGAAGATTTTCGTTCCATTTCTTATCTCATTATTAGAACACGTCTCAACGCAGGTATCTTTTTTAACCAGATTCCAAGTCTAATAGTGAATACAACAAAATCAAAAAGGTATCTCTTCCCATGAGTGGGTCTAGCCCTTAACATGACACTCGGTTCTGAGCTGTCATTCACTCATCCCCTTCCCACAAACAACCTGCAAGGCTGATAAACAAAACCAAAATAATTAACCTAAACCCAAGCCAAGCCCAGCCAAGCCTAAGCCTAATACCCGTAAGCAAGAACGCAAGGAAGCAAACAAATCTCTTCCACGTAAACCACCTCATCACATCACACCCGGTCACATTCCCCCACCCAATCCCCAGCCGTGAGCCGCATCCAAAGAAAATAATCTAATCTAAGCCCCCTTACCGCCGCGACTCCACTTAGCCAACGCCCACTCCCTAGCCCCCAAAATCAAGCCGGGATGGAAGAATGTCAACAACCCGCAAGCCAGCACCATCATCGCTCCCTCCAGCACCATGAATGTAATCTCCTCATTGGCCAACTCGCCGCCAAATCCACCCTGTAGCTCAGCACACCGGAACACACTCCTCACAAAGATGAAAAGGACGGCCAGAGACAGGGAGACAATGAACCAGGGCTCGAAGGATCGCTGGGCGCGGAGAGAGTCAAACGCCGGGTTGAGCGGGACTCCTTTGCGGCTAGCACGGTTCACACGTAGATAGAAATCCAGAGCCAGGCACGAGAAGATGAACAGAGACACCACCTGCCACGCAAGGCCACCAACCATGACGTGCACACCCTGGTCCTGCATGGACGAGTAGGCGTCGGCGATGGAGGCGACGGCACCACCCACGGCTTGCAGCAGCAGGGCGATGATGTCGAACGTGATGAAGATGTAGGTGTAGACCTGCGGGCGGAAGCGGGCGTGCTCAGCACCGTAAATTGTGATAATCCGCGACAGAGTCAAATAGATAGCGGCGGAGATGAAAGCCGGGGCGATGGTGAGGGGAACGAGGTACCTGTCATAGTTTATTAGATTCAATGCCTTAAGTTGTTGATTCTAGCAGGAAACTCACATCAAGAACCACGAGAATTCGAACATCGAGTAGCGGAGGAGAATGCGTCCGACATAGCCCAAGACTTCAAGAATCAATCCAAGGGTCATGCCGATCATGTATCCACGCGTCTTGCGCTGAATGCCGAGGAAAAGCTGCATCACGAGAAAGAGGCCGAAGAGAGCTGCGTAGAGGACGTTGCCCGCCAGATTCGGGTAGTATCGCACCCATGACAGCTGCTCGCCGTCCAGGACGAGAGGACAGGTGCATTTCGTACACAATGAGGTATCATTGAGTAGAGTCTGGTTGAAAGTAGCGAGCGTGACGTTGCTCCAATCGGTGGTGCAGTTAGTCATGGTGAGTGATGGGGTATGTGGATATGAGAAGGGAAAAGAAAATTCGTTGTGGAGATTGGGGAAAAAGACACCAGGAAGGAAGAAAAGCGAGCTAAAAGACAACCAGATAAGCTTAAGAGAAGTAAGAAGTAAGAATTGAGAGTAAGAAACAGTGGACAGAGGATGCTGAGAACAGTGTGAGAGGTTGATCTGATGTTGGGGCCGAAACAGCTTACTATATAGGCTGAAACCGTATAGTAAGCAAATCCTGCGACAGGGATATGTTACCACAGCCACTCTTGGGCGTCTAAACCCCAACAAAGAAAACAGGCATCGAATTTCTAAAATAGGCATCAAAATTCATAACAAATAGTAAACCACAGCCTCATACCCTTCACTGCAGGGGCCGTAGGCTAACCTGATTAAACAATCATAATAAGCCTTACTGCTAAGCCCCACGTGGTGTGAATACCGCCGTAGTCGAGCATACAGCCCTAGGCTACGATATAACCCAGAGGCGGAGTAGCTTCAGGTATCCTAACTTTAGAATTTTCCATTCATCTTTCCGTAAAACGCTGCCAAACTGTTGCTGCCTGAATCCTACTATCTTTAATCGACCGACCGCTTTTTGCCCTAACGCCTAGACCTCCACTTTCTATCACCATGTATACTCAAGCCACTTCTACTATCCTTGTCGAGAACATCGGCGTCTCCCATCGCGAGAACCCCGATACTGAAATTGCTGCTCTGATCAACGCTGCCTGGAGCATCGTGGTAGGGCAGTATACGGGGCAGGAAGACACTCGCTTCATCACTGCCACTGCGTCGGGAGAGGCCGATGATCTTGAATCCACCTACCAAATCTGCAACGCACAGCTCGACGGCGCAACAACGATTGCCGACTTCATCCAACAAACACAACAAGCGACGAAGGAGCTGGCCTCCGACCAGGTCCCTTTGGCGCCTTCACGAAATGAAACCGCTACCTCTCCATTCCTACAATCCATCACGACCCTCACCTCCAACAAGACCTACCTCAACTCCTCCTCTCCCAGCCATCTTGACGCTACGGGCGCGCTAATTGAGCTCGTGGCTATCCCCTTGCCATTCGACAAACTCGAATTTGTGGTGCGTTTTGCGCCAACTACAATCGATCAAGAACGAGCCGATCACCTCGCCGCTGCTTTTGCGCACGTTCTTAATTTGATCAACAACCCCGACCGGCGTCACGACCGATTAGACGCCATCGATCTAGTCAGTGACTACGACAAGGCAAAGCTTTGGACCTGGAATAGCGTCCAGCTGCCGGAGACGGTCGAATCATGCGTCCATCTTCTCTTCCGCCAGCGCGCGCAGGAGGAGCCGGACATGCTCGCCGTGGACGCCTGGGACGGCCGCTTCACATATGGCGAGCTGGACGCTATTTCCGATCGCATTGCAGTCTGGCTAGCCCAAGAAGAGGGAATCCGACCGGAATCTATTGTCCCCTTGTGCTTTGAGAAGAGCCGCTGGGCCATTGCGGCCCTCTTGGGTGTAATCAAAGCAGGGGGTGCTATTGTGTTTATTGACCCAGCTAACCCAGTCAGCCGCAGGCAAGATATCATGGAACAAATCGAAGGTAAGTGGGTGCTGAGCTCCAAGAGCCAAGCCGAAACGTGGGAAAAGGAAATGGGCGTGCGAGCTATCGTCGTTGACGAACAATTCGCTGCCTCCTTGCCCGTCGAGGATCAGATCCTCGAGTCCGGCGTTACCCCTAACAATCTCCTCTACCTCATCTTTACTTCAGGAAGCACAGGAAAGCCGAAAGGCTGTCTCATCCCGCACAAGGCATTCATCTCGGGTGCCCTCGTACACGCCTCTCTATCCAACATCTCTCGCGGGAGTCGAGTCTTGCAGCTCGCCTCGTACAGTTTCGACGTGAGCATGCTGGAGATCATGACTTCGCTTATGTCGGGTGCATGTGTATGCACCCCAGACATGGCCAGCATGGCCCAGGGTCTCCAGCCCATCTTCGACAAATTTGACATTACATGGTCCTTCTTGACGCCGTCGCTGGTCAAGCTACTGCGACCCGAGATGGTCCCCAAGCTTAAAACCCTCGCCCTCGGTGGTGAGCCACTCAGCAAAGTCGACATCGAGACATGGGCACCACACCTGCAACTTATCAACGGGTACGGTCCGTCCGAATGTTCCGTTGCCGCCGCGGGCGATCCACATTTAAAACCAAACAGCGACCCATCAAATATTGGCCGCGCCGTTGGTGGACTTTGCTGGATCGTGGATGCCGAAAACCACGACCGGCTCGTTCCACTGGGCGCCGTCGGCGAACTCTTGATCTCCGGTCCCATTCTCGCTCGTGGATACTTGAATGATGCAAAAAAGACGGCCGCCTCTTTCATTGAGAACCCGACCTGGACCGAAGGCTGGTCGCTGACACCATCAAATGCGACCGTGTCGGATGAAAGCGGATCCATGCGCTTTTACAAGACCGGTGACTTGGCTCGGTTTAACCTTGACGGCACCATCCAGATCCTGGGTCGCAAAGATACCCAAGTTAAACTTCGTGGTCTACGCGTGGAGTTGGGTGAAATTGAGCACAACATCGCTCGTCACCCTCACATCAAACATGCTGCGGCGTTCCTCCCCAAGGCTGGGCGGTGCAAGGAGAAAATCGTCGCCGTTGTATGCTTGAAAGACTTCGCTCAGGACTCCAAAGCTGGCAGTCCCAATGCGCCCATTGATGTGCTATTCGAAGATGAGAGAGCAGATGTCAAGGACCAGACCGATGCAGTCCGGAACCACCTACGCGGCTGTGTGCCGGAATACATGGTTCCCGCCGTATGGATCGTGGTTGAGGCATGGCCGCTGTTGGTGTCCGCCAAGCTTGATCGCAAGCGGGTTTTCAACTGGTTGTTGGATATGGATGAGAGCCTGTATAATCGCCTTCTAGGGTTCCTCAGTGCTGATTCGTCAGAAAATCGCTCCTTGGATGAGGAGGCCGACTTGGATCTGTCAGAGGTTGAGCGAGCCCTTCGTGACATTTTCGCTGGTGCCCTGAACACTCCCGCTCACAATCTGCCGCTGGACAAGAGTTTCATCGCGCTTGGTGGCGACAGTCTCGCTGCCATGCGTGTGATCTCACAATGCAAGCGTGCCGGCTTGAATGTTACAGTCCAGGACATGATGAAGAGCAAAGGCGTCAAAGATCTGGCTGGCCGTTTGGAGAAGTCTTCTGGTTTGAAACCAAAGTCAAACGGTTTGGATGCCTCGTTTCCACTTTCCCGGGCTCAGCAATTCTGTCTGGGTGACGGGAGGGCGGCAAACCACCTCACCCAGAGTATTCTCTTGAAATTGGATGGTAGTGTTTCGGCTGCTCGCGTCAAGGCTGCTCTGGAGGCTATTGTCACCCGCCACTCCATGTTGCGGGCGCGTTTTGCTGAGATTGTAGAGGACGGCGCCGTGTCCGTCAAGCAAACGATCGACTCTGAGATTGAGGGTTCTTACCGCTTCCAACATCATCGCATAGAACGCCCTGAAGATATTACCACCATCGCAGCCTCAGCCGATGCAGTATCACTCTCTGGACCCATCTTCTCTGCTGGTTTGGTATCAGGAGCGGAAAAGCAACTGTTGGTCTTGAGAGCCCACAGTGCTGTGGTCGACGCTGCCTCCTGGAACATCATCATCCGACAGCTTCAGACCTTCTTGAGTCTCCCAGACGGGCCTATTCTGGACGAGGAAGCCGAGGAGCCAGTCTCTTTCCAGAACTGGGTTAATGTTGAAAGAGAGTCATCGGGTGCCGAGTTTGCAGTCGCGCCACGCATTCTGGCAGCCACAGAAGTTGACATGGAATACCAGGCAGTGGAGATTGATCAGGAGACAGCCACTCTGCTCTTGAGCGACGAAGTTCACAGACCACTGCGGACTCACGTTGTCGACTTGATGATGGCAAGTCTGATGCTCTCGTTCAGCCAAACCTTTGGCGACCGCGAGACCCTGCCTACACTCGCTCTGTGGGAGGATGAGCGTGGACTTGCGTTTGAAAATTTTGGCATTGACCTCTTCCAAACCGTTGGTAGATTCGAGACTCTCCGTTTAATGGCTCTCGACACCGCCGATATGAGCACGACCGACGAGCAAGTACGCATGCTGAAGGGAATCAAGGACGCCCGGAAAGCGAGAATGAAGTCAAGTACTACTGAAAGCCCAGAGATCTCGTTTCGCTACCGCAATCTGTCGAACGTGATTGACGGTCCTCGCAGCCTGGTGCAGATTAAGCCGCGCCCTGTCTTCCTTCCTGCTCCCGGCGCCGCTCCTTTGGTCAGCAACATCTCCGTTGTGGCGGAAGTCATCGATGACAATATTCAGCTCGCCTTCTCCTTCAACAAGAAGGTTGTACAAGAGGACCAAGTCAAAGCGTGGATCGCGACCGCGCAGGAAACACTTGCTTCCCTCGTTATGAAGATGATCTACGCCCCAGTCGAATACACTCCATCAGACTTTCCATTATTGGGCGGAATTAGCTACAGCACCCTCCATAACATCATCAACAAACAACTGCCTCAGATCGGCCTCATTCCTGGGCCCGAGACGTCGTTTATCGAAGATATTTATCCATGCTCACCCATGCAGCAGGACCTGTTGCTTAGCCAGCACCGGTCTAAGGATGACACTTATGATGTATACCATATTGCGGAACTCCGCCCGCGCGATCCCAAGGAGTCGGTGTCCATTGAGCGACTTGCGCGGTCGTGGGGCGAGGTTGTGCAGCGACACACGTCTCTACGGACCATCTTCGTTGAAAGTGCCGACGTTGAGGCTCAGTTCAACCAGGTTGTGCTATCGCGCACCGATCCCAATATCTCAATCGTGGACTGCTGCCCTGCTGATGACTTCGCTTTGATTCTGGCCAACCAAGACCCGGTTTCAATCAGTGGACCCGAACCTGCCCATCGACTGTCCATCTGCCGCATTGCAGGAGCCAACCACGTTGTGATGAAGCTAGAGATCAACCACGCCATCGTGGATGGCGTATCCGCGGCTGTCATTGTCCGTGACCTACTGCAGGCGTATGATGGCCATGCCGCCAAATGGGAGCCAGCAATGCCATTCTGCAACTACATCTCCCATATCCGACAGACTCCTTTGGCCTCATCAATCGACTTTTGGGCAGAGTACCTGAAGGGTCA